AACATATTTGCATGTTCAGGCAGCTAATATTGAATCTGAAACCTCTGGATTTCATGGGGAATACCAGTTGACGAAGCATGAATATTCCAGTTTGGGGCTTGGAAATAGTGGTACATTACCATCTGTAACTCTGGCTTCATCTTACTTCATGCATGAATGTCCGACTCCTATTTTGATTGTTAAAATTAACTCGATTTTGGAAGGTAGTTCTTGTTGTTTTCTAGTAGTCATATCTGTGGTGGCACTCTATGGATACTGATATCATTAGTGTTTTAGATATGCATTCTTGAGTAAGAAATATGTTCTGAACATCCAAAGTTTCAATGGCAATTTCCTGTCCTCTTATTTGTCATCATCATTCTCGTTTTATTTAACTTTGATGCATGTTTGTTCAGAAATGTTGTGATAAGTAATTATCTTATCATTAAGCTATGTTTCTAGTTACTAATTGTTGTCCTGCTCTCTTATGACCTGACACTTGTTTGGGTTCTCAGAATGCAGCACAACTGAATCATCTGATGATGTAGAGAAGCAAGAGCTCGAGGAAGTTTCTCATGAAGATGGAACCTTGTTCTTTGATACAAAAGAGTATTTTACTGAACCTGCAGTCGATCATGCATCTAATATGAAAGAAACTGAAACCCGACTTGATAATGTGGAAAAGATGCATGCTGATAAAGGAGATTGTGATTCCAGATATCCTCAAATTGAGAGAAGAAAAAAGCTTCCCAATCCAGTCGAAAAAGAGAAAGGGGTTAGCCTTTGGTCTATGATCAAAGACAATGTGGGAAAGGATCTCACACGAGTATGTCTCCCTGTTTACTTTAATGAACCAATATCATCCCTTCAGAAATGTTTTGAGGACCTAGAATATTCTTATCTTTTGGACCGAGCGTATGAGTATGGAAAAGAAGTACGTTATTCATACATTTCATCTTTAATATTTTGTGCTTCTCTTGATAAATGCACTATTTATCTCCTGGTATTGCAAAATTAATTCAAGATTTCAGACAATTTTAACCTGATAGTACATCTAGAATTTGAGAAATTGATGTTCACTCTTAACTGAAAAGTAATAATATCTAGAGTGAAATTTGAGAAATCTCATTCCCTCAGGCATCTCCTGTCCCAAAAGTTTTTGGACTATTTGCAATGCTTTTAAAAATTCTGTAAACATAGCAGATGCTCTTGCTTTATTTCAGTTCAATAATGTCTGGGTTTTCTGTACATTCTCAGGGTAACGGTCTCCAGCGGATTCTTAATGTTGCTGCATTTGCTGTTTCCGGGTATGCTTCCTCTGAAGGCCGACATTGTAAGCCCTTCAATCCGTTGCTAGGAGAAACTTATGAAGCAGACTATCCTGACAAAGGACTTCGTTTCTTCTCTGAGAAGGTCAGTAGTCAGAACCGTAAATGACTAAACTTCATATTAAGAAATTTGCAGCTTTATATTGAAACTGAAACTGACAAGCTATGAACTTTTTTTTTTATTAATTTTGATTACATCAAGTGCTTTTGACTTTTCAACAGTTGGGACAAGATATATTTGATGATATACTTTTGCATACCCTTTGGTAACACACGCATTTATTTAAAAATAAATAAATAAGAGAGCGAGAGAAAGGGACTGTCATCATCTTCTTCATTATGGATAATCAAGATGTTGGAAATTATTGCCTTGGTAGTGTCCTCAAAAATTATTTGAACTATTTATGGGGAAAAAAGTTTCTGGACATTTCTAGGAAGGAAAACTTTCATGTTCATGCAATTATCGGTTTGACATTGTTAAGATAGTGAAGAGAAACATTACAAAAGTGTTTTTGAAGAACTTGGAAGGCAAACTTGAATTGTACTAGTTTGTAGGCCTTGGGAGTACTTATCTTCCTATGTTGTTGCTTCTATTTACCTGGATGTGAAAGTGCAAATATTGTACTGCAGTTCCATAGCACATATGACTTACCTTTCAGGTTGAAACAGGTTAGTCATCACCCAACCCTTATTGCCTGTCATTGTGATGGCCGAGGGTGGAAATTCTGGGGTGACAGTAACCTCCGCACAAAGTTTTGGGGGCGTTCAATTCAGCTCGACCCTGTTGGAGTTCTGACTGTAGAGTTTGATGATGGTGAAATATTTCAATGGAGCAAGGTCTGCACTACTGGGCTTTGTGTTTACTGGATGTGCTATTTAGGCATTTTAGTATACTAGCTTCCCCTTTTGTGTGGTATGAATTATTTGGACCTCATTCTCTGCAGGTAACAACTAGTATTTATAACCTTATCCTTGGTAAAATATATTGCGATCACCATGGCTTGATGCACATTCATGGGAATCGCCAGTATTCATGCCAACTCAAATTCAAAGAGCAATCTATTCTTGACCGGAACCCTCACCAGGTTAGTTGTCAATATCAGGGTTTCAAATCGTGGTCGCGTTTTTCGGTTATTTCGGATTTACTGTGATTGCGGCCATCGCGGACGCTATTGCGGCCGTCGCGGGTAACTCGGACGGTGGCGAAACTGCTATATCGCGGCCGAAATCGCGGTTGCCGACCGTTTTTTAAAACCCTGGTCAATATAATTGTTTTAACCCTCTTGATTGTTTCATATCCTTGGTAGTCCATCCTCTGTGCCTTGAGAGTTATTTTATGTAGTAATTTCTTATCCTGTCCTTAATTTAAATAGGTCCATGGGTTTGTCGAAGATCTTTCGAGTAGAAAAGTCGCAACATTTATATGGCAAATGGGATGACAGCATGTATTACATCAACGGTGATGGCAATGGCAAACCAAAGGACTGCAGTCCTTCATCGAGTGCCACCTTGCTATGGAAGAGGAACAAACCACCTCCAAATATGACTCGCTACAATTTAACATCATTTGCAATTACACTAAATGAACTAACGCCTGGACTGCAGGTAGAGATGATGTATTACATCAGTTTCTCATAAGCAATTTCATTTTCCTCTTATGCATATCTAATTGTTCTCTATAGCGCTGTCTGACTTGGGGTATTTGATCACGGATTAAGGAGAAGCTCCCACCTACGGATTCAAGGCTTCGACCAGATCAACGTCATTTGGAGATTGGGGAATATGATGGAGCAAATGCAGAGAAACAACGGTTAGAGAGGAGGCAGAGAATAGTATGTTTCCACTGCCATGATTTTCATGTTTCTATGCTCATGCATTTATTTGTTGACAAAGTAGCCTCCTTGCATGTTTTGTTTTTTGCGTCTTGATTTCAACGTCTGCCCGCATTCACAATTTCATTCAAATTTAATTATATCTGATTTAGATAAATTACCTATAGTATGCCATACTGTTGTATTCTATACTATTGCTTCATGTTCATGCTGTCTCTGGTCCTGCACAGTCAAGAAAATTACAAGAAGATGGGTGGAAGCCTAGATGGTTCCAGAGAGACAGTGAAAATGGATCATTCCGTTATGTGGGCGGTTATTGGGAAGCAAGAGAACAGGGAAAATGGGATGACTGCCCGAATATATTTGGTGAATTCGAAGAACTTGTTGATTCCTCCGAATGATGCTGACTTCACTATAAGGTTAGTAAATTCATTCACCATAATCTAGCTGTGCCATACTTTTGTTACAATGGATTGGTTTTGTCATTTAGACCTGACCATGCATAATTTTTTTGATCGTCTAGAATTGGCAAACATTCCGGACAATAATGGAGGAAATAGAGTCGATAAACACGTACATAGCTTTGATTCCCGGTCGCCATTTCTAGGCTTCTGCAAAGATTGCAGACAAGATTCATCTTGGTCGTCCGAGAGACAGCCAAGTTAAGAACATGAATCATTAAGTAGATATAGTAGGTATAGGTGAGAGTCTGAAGAGTGGGAGTCGTCTGTGTAATGTAATGTCTCAATAGTTCATTTATTTCTATAGCTCCTTCACTCCAAAATTTAATTTCATAAATATTTGTATTTCCATTCAATAAATGAAATGAAACAATTGAACCCAAAAAAAGGAGAAATGAAAAAAAAAGTTAATAACAAGTCTTATGTATTTATTATATTTGATATTTGCTTAACTAATAATATACATATTTATGACATGATAAATCCGTTTTAAGAACTAGTTGAAAACACAACAGTAGTTAATACCCTAGCAGAAAATCACTTTGGCTTGAACCTAATAATAGGAAAACAGTACACACTATTTTCAGTTTTGGGTTGCTAACGAAAGTATGGGAGACCGAGGTGGCCGTGGCAACCGTGCATGATAGCTGAGCTCTGTTTTCGATTGCCTCGTTAATTTTGACAAGCATAGCAATTAAAGAGGACAAAGGAAACCAGGAGGGTCTTTCCCACAAGTGATTAGAGCTTGAAGAGCATGGGGAATGCGTATAATAATTAATGTTCAGGAGCTCAAGTCTTATAGCAGTGAAAAGACAAACGTTGGATTCGAGCTTGAGAAGACCTCCGAGAATCAGACAGCAAGCATTTTCAACCGGGTTTCCTAACACAATGTGCATCAATCCACCAAGCACATCCTCGCATGGTCCTAGTTTAAGTGAATCTACAGGGCAGGGGCAAGTTGGTTGGGTAGTTGGCGGAGCGATGGTAACATGAGGGTTGGTTATGGAAGCGGTTATTACAGGAGGGTTGGTTGCTGACGGGACAATAACAGGTGGCCACGGAGGCTTTTACAATGGTGGCTTGACCTTCAGGCTGCCTGTGTGTACGGTGGATGCTTGATGGTTGGAGAGTTCGGGTGGTGGTATTCCGGTTGTTTACAAAGGACACAAGCATACATGGGTGGCAAAAACATTAACAAGAAAATCAACAAGATGAAAACTATTGCTTTAGACTTGGAACCCTATACACACACACACACACAGCTGAACTTGATGTGGAACCCATGGCTTAGGGTATCAAATGATGGATTGTCATACATACACGCATGCATGCATATACATGCTAAGTTGCTAACATCTTTCTGCAACTGGAGCCATCGAATTCAAGTGATCGTTACCATCAAAATGAACTTATTCACATCGAGTGGAAATCATAAAATTTATATACAATATTCGGCACCGTATTGTCACCAGTTCTTTAAATAATACTAGCCATAATGAAATTACCGTCCCAAAGGCAATGGAAATTGTGATGCCAGAGATGATACACGGGTCTGGTGAAATAAGGAAAAGATAAAAGCAACGTCGGGAACAAATTTACCAAAGGCTACTGAGAAATCCGATCCCCGAATGTGTTCTCCCCACTGTAAGAAACATAAAGAAATCCATCTTCATCCTTCTTCTCTTCGTATATGGCAGACATAATGGCACCTGCAAAAAGAAAAAGGAGTTTAGCCCCTTTGAATCAGATAGCAAAGGTAAGAATCGAGCAGCGATGGGTGTAAGTGCAAGGGATTACCAGTTGGAGGGAGAACATTGTCCACAAATATGAATATTGCTTTTTCAGCACTCAGTTTGATCCTTTTACGGATAACATATACAAATTGTCCAACGGTCAAATCAGCTGGGACAAGGTACCTGTAAATTTCGGAATCATAGCAATTTGAACGATTTCATACGTCCAAGGCAGTAAAAATGGTGTAAAATGCACGGAATAGCATCCACATCAACACAAGAATCTATATTCATCATCATACACGCACCTAGGGATGCCGATCACCGAAACCATAGTGTCGGAGTTGCAATATGATAGAGATAGATAATTCAAAGAAACTAACACCAGACAACGTTTTTAAAAGGATGAAACAATGAATCAAGAGAATCTAAAGCCACAAATAATATGTAGGTGACGCTTACTTCTTCTTGTCGATGTTCGGGATATCACTCCTCTCTGCTTTCTCCACAATCACCTTAAAAATAAAAGAGGATAATAAACAAGTCAAGCTTGGACTTGAAATCACCAACAAATATACAGACTGATCAAAACCGTAGAACATATTAGACTAACACTAACGATAGATATCAAGATCGGAAATAAAAGTAGAATTGTTACCGGGATCCTATCCGGGTATTTCTCCCGAATCCTAGCAGCCTCTGCCCTCCTCTTCTCTGAAGCCAAAACCAAACATGAGAAAAACCATTAGCTTTCACAAAATATAAATAATTGACTTCCCCATAAATAGCATTACTCACACTGGTTCGCCATAAATAACAGAGAAACTAAAGATAAATATGTTCATAACAAATAAAAGGTTTCAGTACATACCCAGATCATGCTCTTGCTTGAAGTAACTCTTTGCCATTCCTCCTGAAATTACAAGCCAAAAAGAAAAAGAAAAGTTGTAAAATTGAAGACCCAAATCTTATCCCCGATCACACTGTTGTTTCTTTTTAGACAATTGAGGAAAACAGAATAAAAAAGCCCCAAATTTCAACTGAAACTATCCATTCTAATTACCCAGAAAAAACCAACAGAAAATAAAGAAAAAGATCTATCAAATATACATGAAACAGATTGAAAATACAAGGAAAACCCAGAAAGGCAAACCTTGTGAAGATGAACCCAAAGCAAAAAAGGATAAAGCTTTTATCTTTTTCTCTCGATCAAAAGAAATCTTCCAAAGCTTGAAGCTCGTGGTTTGGTTGACAAGATAAAGTATAAAATTAATATAGGCAAAAGCCTTTGTCTTTTGAGTACTTTTTCTACTCTTTCAGCCAAGCTTGTTTGTTTTTTAATTAATGATTGATGAAAGGTTTTACAAATAGCTCATGGAAGGGCCTATGTGTAATTACGATTGCTATGCTATACACGTGGGCTGACATTATTGGTGTTTGTTGGTTAAGGTGTTGGTTAATCCTTGTTGATTACGGTAAGACGGACAGATCATTTTCATGTGTCGATGTTCTTTTGGATAAGGTTGAAAAGTATGTGAATCGGACGGCTAGCAATGTGGCGATGATCATGAGACATTGTCAAACAAAGAGGGGTCGAATAAATTATAAGAATATTCCCGACTCTTCGACCATTTAAAAATGAGAGACTATATAAGTTCTACGGTGAGACATCTTAATATAAGATTAAAATAAGATGTTATTAGTTTTGTTATTATTTAAATAATAAAATTGATAAAAAAAATATTTAAAACATTATTATTTTATTTAAAACATCAAATTTTTAATATTTTTGGTAAAAATGCTCATTAATAATAAAACTAGTAGCGCTTTACAAAATCCGGTAAAACGCCCAATAATAACAAAACCGATAGAAATAATAATGTTTTTGGTATTTTTTATTGGTTTTGTTATTTAAATAATAACAAAACTGATAACGTTTTTTTTAGTTATATATTAAAGTTATCGCACGTGAACATTTCCAACACTGGATCGAATTCTAATTTCTCTAATTTATAAAATTGAATTTTAATTTTAACTATGTGATTAGAACGTTAAATTTTAATGACACTAATTAAAATTTTTTGTTATTATGGTGACATGGATAAAAGATATCGTTTTGGAGATAACAATTTATTTTTTGTCATCGTATTTCTTCGATCGTCAATTATTGTTCATAATTGGAGATCGGTATCATAATGTTCATATTCCACTTATCTTTTTTGTTCTAGGATTGATTTTTCATGAAACACATTCAAAATCGAAGAAAATCTATTTAAAAGTTTGACGTGGTAATAATCTGATCTCTTCTAATAACCATATGTTGATACTAATTTTGAGATATATTATCTGTGTTCTCAAATTAATGTTTCTCACCGTTGGGATTTTCAAACAAACACCCCATATCCTTTGAATCTAAGAAAGTCCCAAACTCCTTAAAAAATCATTTTTTTAATCTAATTTTGTCAACTTTAAGTAGATTTTATGAAAAATCAATTATATGAGAAGAAAGAGGAGTGAAATAAGAACATTTTGATATTAATATTGTAAAAAATAAGATAAATGACGGATGATAATTGACTACCAATGACATCGAAAAAAGTGCAAATGGTAAAATGTGAACTACATAAAATTTAACAACAAAATCGATACATCCTTAAAATTTAATATCTAAAATGACATTATTTTAGACAATAAAAAATGATATCCTTTTCTCAATATCATCTCACCATTTAAGTTTTAGCGATTCAATAATATAATTGAAATTAAAATCAAAATTTAATTCTATAATAGAAGGAATTAAAATTTCAATAATATAAACAATTTGTAATATATATTCCAATATACGTCAGATATAAATATTTAATAAAATGAATATATGAATATTTTTGGACCAACAATAAGTTGGTCTAATAGAATGAGGAATTGGATTTTTTAAGCATTTGCGCATTGAATAAACTGGGTTGGGAGGGTCGCCCTTGTCTCTACAGTACCCGATCTAGATTAGTCGATTAATAGATTGAATATCAGTGATTAATTTAAAAGAATAATGCATGCTTTTGGATCAGGGCTAATTCGAAAGTTATATAGTCATTATTCATTAAATAATTAATACCATTTCTGGTATTACCAGTACCTGAAATGAACAAAAAAATAATGATAATTACATAAAGAATGCAACAAGTTATTGGATTTGCAACTCTACCAAAGCCTTCACAAGGTTTGCTAATTCCATAAAGCTAACTAATGCAAGTACCAGCAGAAGACCTTCCCTTCACTGCACTTTACTTCTCCAGACGAAGGAAAGTAGAGGGAAAATTGGGCAGATGAGCCGACTCGATCATTCGCGGTTCACGATCTCTTCATGACATATCCCGCGATTAATCCGACCAAGCCGATCAAGACAACAAGCATGAATGACAGACCGCCACCACCTTTGCTGGTTTCGCGCTTCAACAGTTCCTAAACATTTGTAATTTTTACATGTGAGAAACTCTGCAAGGCTCAAAATGGATCAAGAGAACGTAATAAACCGGTCGGAGACAAGCATATCGAAAGCACACGTCTATCAGGTGATGGAAATTTTTAACTGCATTTCATAAGCAACCATCATTAAGATGGCATCGGTTTGAAGGAAAGAAGAGTAGGGATCATGCTGGGTCTGAGATGTTGAAGGAAAACAGAAGAGATCGATGTCGACTTGAAAATAAAGGGTCAATGAATTTACTGACTTGGTCATCTATAATGAAAGAAAACTGCAGGTGGAAGCATAGAAAAAGACCAATCATTATAACCACGATTCATATGGTACGGTCACGGTCAGTTCAACTCACCAGCTCTTTGCGAAGCTTGTTATTCTGTTGAATTGCTTTATTTTTTTCTTCAGTCAACTTTGTTATAAGAGTTTTTGCCTGCAATTATAGCAAGTATCATTGAGGCAATAGTCTAAAAGCGTCGAAAGCAATGCAAATATCTGAGTAGAAAAATATTTGATTCGGGTGTGATTTCCGGATTACGGGTATGTTTCCAAAGCCGAAAAGTTCAAATTTTTTCAAAGTTCTTTCATGTATTTGGAGGAAACTGGAGGATCATATTTTCACACTTGATAGCGAATATAGGTGTTGGACATGATTTCAAGAAAATAAAGTGGTGAAGCAACATGGATCCAAATACCAAAATAAATGAATAACAAATCACATATATGCAGCAGTATAGGGTGACATTGAAGATACCGAATTCAGAATTTACCTCAGGAGATTTATCTTAAAATTAATCTGTAGATATCTAACTGGAAAAATATGATTCTTACTATATACAGAAGAAAAACTATGTTACTGATTCCGATGTAAGTTTTAGATACTGGTATGCATTGAAGGATCATATCTTTCGTACCGATATTTGGATATGCATTGGACGATCATAACCGGAGCAAGTTCTTTCATGTATGAAAACGTATCCGTATTGGAGGGAACATATTTTCATACTGATTCAGATATGCGTTGGATATTGGTGTTGGACACGAATATTTCAAGAAAATATCGAGTCAAAGCAACATGGATCCGGAATGCCAAAATAAATGAACAAATCATGCATATGCAGCAGTATGGGGTGACACAAAAGATACAGAATTCAGAATTTACCTCAGGAGATTTATCTTGAACGTCATCTGTAAATGTTCTTGCAGCCTGCATTCACCAAATGCAAACTATTAGCATTCCAGAAAACAGTGTGCAAACAACAGAGGCAATAACAAAAATATTCGCAGCAAGATCTTGGTTTCGGTACCATAACGAACTCAGTAGCATTCGCCTGGCCATTGTCTGAAACAGCTCCTCTCATTGAAGACCCTACTTCAGACCCATCATGTGCAGGTGTATGTTGAGATGAAAAAACATAGACCACTCTCAACTTGCATTCCTCAACCACATTCCCAGCTTCTCTGTTGAACTAGAAAATCGAACATTCGCATAATCAATCAAAACCGTACATCCTAACCCTCAAAGTTATTAATTATTATATAATTATGTTACTCGAATTTGAATGTATATGTCGGAAATGGATACTTCAAGAAAAACGAAGGGCCGGAATAATAATATCATACCATTTCCGCGGTTATATCCTTTGGGGTTGCACCATCAGGGGCTTTTACAGTTTGAAGTAGGAATTTGTCCTTGCATTGCATATCAGCAGGGACCTCCTTTTGCGCTTGCATGGTAACTAAATAAAAGAAGAAAAAACATTGATTGTTTTGAAGATTAATCAGAAAACAACAATGATAAAAATCTGGAAAAAAATGTATTTGATTATTGAATTTGTACGTTGTACCTATAACCTCACATGTCGATATAGGCAAAACGATACCCGTGTTGGGACGAACACAATACTTTTTCGGATTTGTTGTTTTCACCTGAAAAACAAAAGTCAAATGGAGTATTGATTAATCATTCATTCATTCCTGTTGTTTTTTGTCAGCTACCAACCAGATCATTACAAGTCGACATTGATGAACGATACCTTGAAAGCTACATAATCATCAGTTTTATTCGACAATTGAAGAGAACATGAGATCTGCTTCTTCAGCTCAACTATTGAAACGCCATAAGCAACAACAACGAATCAAAACTAAAATCCCAGAAGAAAAAAAACAGAAATCAAAGAGCGGGGAGAAAAGGGAAAGAGAATCCCAGAATAAAAAAAAACTTACAAGGAAACTTGAGCTCTACAGAGTCGACGTTCAGAAGTTCGCCCGTGCTCATTTCGAACCAATGATATTTAATCGAGGACCCAGTTAATCTCTAAAAAGAGAGAAAAAAGAAATGAAAACGAGAAGGAATCCAATCTCAACCTTTATTATTGGTTTTTATAAATTAATTGTTTCAAAAAATTTCCTTTTTCTTCTTATTATTAGTTAATATCACTTGAACCGACCAAAATTATTGGATTGATCGCTTTTATATCTCCATCGTTAATTTGGGTCAGTTTTATATTTAGATTGTTTATAGTTGCTTGTTGAGTAATGACCCTGGATCTTAAAAGAAAAAGGCTCGAACTTTAGTGATAGTTAATTTATGAGATTAGAAAATATCAATGGCTTCCATTGTTCCTCGTTTTGGACCATACTATGGCTTTGTTTGCTACTGATCATATCATCTGTCTATGATTAAAAATAAAAAAGATTAAAAAAAGAGGGCAATTTATGTGCCTAAGGTCGAAATCCGAGCAGTGTAAGCAAAGAGCCCAATCCAAGAGAAAGCAAAGAGTGGCGCAAAAATGGCGGCTGCTGCTGCTGCTCTAATACCCGCCACCGATTCAAACCTTACTCTATCCTCCGTTTCCTTTCATTTTATTCCAAAAACCCAACAAGTCCTCGCCTTTTCCCGCCGCTTACTCGGCGGCCGGCCTCCTTTCACTCAACTGTTCATCGGGAGCGATCCTTCTGCTCCGTTATTTCCGCCGCGCTGCAGTCCGGGGAGATGAAGGAAACGGAATTCCCAGGAAAGAAAGTTGGCGAATTTAGGAAAAAAGTGAAGATAGTTGACATAAAAGGAGGACCTGATGAAGGTTTGAATCGAGTTGGGCAGACTATGGTGATTACGGGCTGGGTTCGAACTCTCCGTGTTCAAAGCAGCGTTACATTCCTTGAGGTAAATTTGAAAAAGAAAAGAAAAGCGTTGCCTTTTGCCTTCAATTAATGTATGTGGTTGATATTATATTCGTAGGTAAATGATGGTTCATCTCTTTCAAACATGCAATGCGTGATGAATTCGGATGCCGAAGGTCAAGATCAGGTAATACAACATTAGTTTTGTTAAGAGTTTCTTAGCACCATTTGTAGTGTGAAAGTGGAAAACTGGAAATTTCAATATATATATATATATATATACTTGCAAGTTATCTATATGGGCGTGTGCAAGGGACTTTGGTGGCTAGCCAAGGATCAAAACAGAAGGTGGAATTGAGGGTTGAAAAAAGTTGTTTTGGTATAGCAGATTGTCCCCTCTTTCATTTTGTTGAAGTCGATTATTGTGATATGTAGGAGTTTGTTCATCCATTTTGCCTCGAGAATTGACCCGGGTGATCTCCGTCTTTTACCATGGAAGCCATTTCATGAAATCGGAAAATTATTTTCCTTATTGTACTTCTGTGGAGAGAAAAGACGGTTTTAAGTTAATAACTTTTAGCCTATCATACTTGCTCTATGAACTGTTATGTTGCGATCCTAAATTGGTTTCTGTCTTACCCTTTTTCATGGTATTTTATTACATGAGTGTTAATGTATGTTCATCTATCGGGTCATTGAAAGAAATGTCTTCCCCAAATTGAAGGACAATTTAAATTTTAAACTTCTAGTGTCTGAACTAATTGTATTGAATATGGATCTTTTGTTTTTCCTGCAGGTCGGAAAAAGTGATCCTTCCTATCCCATTCAAAAGAAAAGGCTCAGCCGAGAATTTTTGAGAGATAAAGCTCATCTTCGTCCTAGAGCAAACACATTCGGTGCGGCATGGTACTGTTGCTCATTCACTATCATCTCTCGTTGCTATTATATCTAGTTTTATTCTTGCCATAGTTTGTGCAAGACATTATCAATTGTATTACTTGCAAGTTGCAACTTTCACTTGCTATTTGCCAGCATGGTTCTTTTGCAGTCTTTCTGCTTGTACTTTTTCGGTTGAATGTTTTGCCTTCCAAATGAGATCATGGTGATTTTCTTTGCATGTTTGTTTATCGATGTGTACGTTCTCTTTAGGTTGCGTGAGTGAGGAATGCTTAGGCTTATGCAACGCATAAATATTTTCAAGAAAATGATTTTGTATGGATCTCAAGTCCTATCATTACAGCTTCAGATTGTGAAGGAGCTGGTATGAACGTATCGATAATGGATCTATTTATTTCTTCCAATAGTTGGATATTGATCATTGGAAGTTAATCTATGGCTCCATAGTATTTTAAATAACTTTGTGTATTTCCTATCAAAAAAAAAAAAACTTTGTGTGAAGTTAAGCTATTGTCGATCGGCGTACTTCGAGCATCTGGACTTAAGGGAATTATTACATTTTGGATAATTTTCTAGCATCCTTATTGCATTGTTAACTTTGTTTCTAACTTGGGGGTGGTTTAGACTATGTTGGGCTTGTTGATTTATACGTAGAATCCCGATGTGTGTGAAATGGTTTCAATAAGAACTCATTAGCAATTATGACTCAATTGTGTTTGAGCTTTTCATTTAGCGTTTTGACTTCTAAAGTCTTTTTTTGTTGTTGTAATTAACAGATTCCAAGCTCGAGAGAAGCTCCTGATTCTCCTGTGAATGCCATTCCGAGTACAAAGGATGGGTTAATAGATTGGTCACAGGTGAGCTAGTTTTACTTCACACTGCTTCTGATACTACTACATCGAGTTGCATCCCTATTTAAAATGCATTAACTTTTATAAAATAGAAGTACTCTCTTTGCATTTTGAGGTTCTTTAACTGCAGAGAGGCAGCCGATTGAATGTCATTTTATCACTTTGCTCCATGCTTCATCTATGGAATTGATGGATTGGTTCATAACATGTTTTATCTGGAAATGTACTTGTAAACTTTTCTTGTGCTGCAATTTCTTCATTGTCTATCACTCCGTGTCCGAAATTATAGTAATGTAGTTTCAACTCTCTCAGGAATTAGTATGTTTTTGAATTCCCCTAATGTCATTCCCTTATGTCCTATTTTTATGTGCCAGGATTTTTTTGGAAAACCTGCATTCTTGACAGTTTCCGGCCAACTGAATGCTGAAACATATGCTACCGCTCTTTCGGATGTATGTTTCCACTTGTTTTCGTAGTAATTCAAAATATGAACCAATCAAGACGTAATGCGTACTTATACTTTGTTAGGTGTACACATTCGGAGCTACCTTTCGAGCAGAAAATTCAAACACATCTAGGTACTTGGCTGAATTTTGGGTAGGCGTTTGTGGTTTAGCCTCGCAAACTTTTAACATTCTTCAGGTCTCTACCTGTTTTTGAGCATTTGATCCGACCTTCCTAAACCTTGTCTTGAAGAACTTATACCGGCTTTTGTTTAGATGATTGAACCAGAGCTAGCTTTTGCTGATCTGATTGATGACACGGCCTGTGCTACTGCATATCTCCATTATGTACTATGTTACTCTTCACATCTATTATGAATTCTTCTTTGTTGCTAGAGTGAGAAGCTTATAGGCAGATACATTGAAATTCTTTACTGTAATGTATTCTCTTTTCCTTGGAAGTTGAGACTCGTGCTCGATCATGGCGTGGAAGACATGGAATTTTCAACGCTTGGATCGAGAAAGGGGTCATTGATTGATTGAATGTATGAGCTCAATGTGTATCTTAACCTTTTTTTTCGAATTTGGAGGGGGTTATTACACATTATTTGCTCTTCTAGATTTTTATCAGTTCTTTTGAACTTGAAACCGTTACTGGCAATGTTATTGTACTAATAAAGGGTAACTTTTATTTGGTTAATAGGATGTGGCTAAGAAAGACTTTGTGCAGCTGACTTATACTGATGCAATCGAACTTCTTCTAAAAGCAAATAAGAAATTCGAATTCCTGGTATTGTGTTCTTTCTTTCTTTCTTTTTACGGTTTCAAACCTATAAAAAATCCTTCTCTTGCATCCGTTACATGCTTGTTCAGTTATGTATAGGAGATTTCCAACTCGTGGTTTCTTTTGTAGGTGAAATGGGGATGTGATTTGCAGAGTGAGTATGAACGATACGTAACCGAACAAGCATTTAATGGATGCCCTGTTATAATCAGGGACTATCCCAAGGCATGCAATTTGCCTCAATCACTCTTCTCCACGTCGGGATTTTATCGGCTTTCTCAGTTTCATGCCTAAAAGTTCTTGAATGTAAAACTCACAAGAGATAAAGGCATTCTATATGCGCAAAAACGACGATGGAAAGACTGTAGCAGCAATGGATATGTTGGTACCTCGGGTAAATTTTAATTTTCTTCATTTATGGTGGCCAACAATCTTCTTTTTTGCTCGGTCGGCGAGTTCATTCTAGTTCCTTGTCTACATCTGGTTAGGTTGGTGAGCTCATTGGTGGAAGCCAAAGGGAAGAACGGCTTGATCATCTGGAAAATCGTTTAGATGAGCTGAAGCTTAATAAGGAGAGCTACTGGTGGTACCTCGATCTGCGTAGTTACGGTTCAGGTTAAGGATCCTTCTCATAAACTATAACAATAGCTGCTGATCCTGGAAAAGTTGTTGCCATGGTTTCTGTTTAATGACCATTTCATTGCATTTTCCAATTTTATCAATATCTCTTAGGTTATCCTTTGCCTGTTCCTCATGCGGGTTTCGGACTCGGGTTCGAGAGACTGGTGCAGTTTGCCACCGGAGTTGAGAATATAAGAGATGAATACCTTTCCCAAGAACACCTGGTTCTGCTGAATTTTACTTTGCTACAATCATTTTTCTTGGTCTATCAATCATTTAGAGAATTATAATTTTTCAGATTTTTGGAAGCAAAAAGTTTGCTACAATGAAAGCATAACCATATTCAATAATGATTACTACCCAGAAAAACTATATATGAAACAAATCCATGTTCTAATCAGTGCCTGCAATGAACATTTGATTGCAAAAGCAAAGGATGGTACGTATCTTTTAGCAACCGGTCACACGTGAAAACATCCTGTGGCTCCAAAACGTCATAAGTTTCGGCCCTGCCGGTATCTGAGAATCTCCGGAATTTTCCATCCCTTCTGCTGACGAGGAGATATCTCCCATGGACATACGTCCGGCGGTGACCGCGGTCGCCGATATTCTTCTCAGCTACAGAATCATAATTTGGTTCCATATAGAAATGACTCAGACTCGGACTCTGAACGTAGCAATCCGAAATGTTGTTGTAATGTTGAGGTCCGCCCGACGAGAGACACTCATATTGCCGGCGGGTTTTGGTGTTCTTCAGTGTTCGGTAAACCAAAGGGATAAGACCCTCCATTTTCCGGGATTCTTTTTTCTGGTTTTTTACAGAAGAAAATAGACTTTGGGGGAAGACTTTTGGTATGTTGGGTTTGGTCGGTGATGGACTGCTCACTAAAGACTATATATATATATATATCAAGTGTAGCACGTCATCTTTTTGACTCCAATATATAAGAATTAGGGGCATTGAATATTTCATATAAATCTTCAGAGTTGGTTAATTAAATTAGATAACTAATTGGGTTCAGTAACATAATACACACACACTGCCAGATGTATTCTGATATTAAACAATTCTTTCTTATAATACTAGAGGAATAATTGGGTAAGGCCTGCATTCTCGAGTAAGCAGATTATAATTTTTTTTTATGTTTATTGTTATTCGATTTATTAGTCAATTAATGTTATATAGGTTTATGAAATGATTTACATATTTATTTGGATTCAATGATGTTAGCTCGATCGATAAATCAAAATATGTCGGAGATGATAAATTAATTCAAATTGATTATCAAAAGATAAAAAAATTGTATATAATGATTAGAATTGCTCTACTCCTAGTTTTTCTGACATTTTATATAATTAAATTTATATATGACATATCTATTATCATTCCATTTCATTTTAATTTTAAATTATTTATTAATTTTATATATTAGTTTGAAATAAGACGATGAACTGTTAAAAGTTACATTATCAAGCTACGAATTTTAATTCTTAAAATTTTAATTTTCATATCATTCCATTTTAATTGTATTATGGAAGAAAATCATGCAATACAAATCGATTCATTTTTGTTAAAATACCGAATCGAACCCCAAAAAATACACTTCAATATATATCACCCTTAGTTTTTATCTCACTACATAAGAATCAAAGGGTCTTCTACGACGACGTTTAAGTCCCCAAATAACAATAAATAAGAGCCAGTATCAATGAGAGAATATAGATAGCAAACTAAGGCCAGGCTGAGCAGACCCTTATTTTATCATACACTTCAAACATTCAACCAACCGCGAGGTGATTGTTTAGAGTCTCGAAGTACGTAAATGTTGTTTCAAAATCGGCCGGATATACTCGTGGTAACCGTCCGGCACGTCATTATCGTTCAACCAACTCTTCCATGCTTCCTCGTAGAGTTTTCGATACACATTTCCGTCGTAGCGACAGAGAACAGAGCCAAGGCAGTGGTCGATGCGATTGAATGCATCGACAAGGGCGATCGTATTCAAACATACCTAAGGTTGAAATGAGATAAAAACATTTCTTATATAATCATCAATGAAAATAACAAATACGAACATCGTCCAGAGAAATTTCAGTCATTGAACAAACATCGAACTCAACTCAACTAAGAGCTTAATAACAGTAATATATAACTAAACATGACATACTTGGTGACACAAGAAAAATAATTAAAAAAATAAATATATGAAAAAGGGCTTTGTTGTGACCTGCCTGACCATAGACTCGCCGCATGTCTCTTCGAAAAGGCTATAAATTTTTAATGATCTCAACCTCAAAACATGGATCCCATTTCACTCAATTAAGTCCATAGTTATATACAGAAGAAAACAATAATGAAAAAGATTTGTTTGGCCATTGTTCTGATCTCAATGTTCGTAATTCTTTGAGAGGATGATATGATATGATGTTGATAATATTCTAATTGTTTTCGGTGAAATTCTTTAGTAAGCAAAGAGTAGAATCTTGACTCGAGTAGCTGTTTTTAAATGAGTCTCAATCGAGACAGATTTTCAATGTAGAAACATATGTCTATAAGTGTTGTTTTGGGAAGAATAATGTCTCTTGTAAGGTTGTAGTTATTAACACAACTAAGATAAATATGTTTGATGGGACTGTTTGAAAACTTGGTAATGTAAGGTATGATCCATATTTAAAAAGAAATATGATTTTATTAGATACTCGAGACTCCAAAAGATACAAATACTCTAGTGAATGTGGAGTTACAAAAATTTGTAAAGGCTCTTTTATTACGATGAAACGACGGGAAAAGGTTATCAGATTTTATAATCTACAGGTTTAAAAAATTTTAGGTGTTGCACTTATTGTTTCTCCTTCCATATTAGGTGTATACATTTAGTAATTGAATTGTTTGTTGTGGATGTACATATATGTACTTGTGTGTAGCCAAGTTTTTGAAATGTGTAGTTTTATTATTAAATTTGTTGTTTGTATGTTTCGAATGATATTATGTGTATTTAAATGTTCGGATTATCATATTCATATGAAAATCGGAGGAATGTATACCTAACATCAAATGGTTATGATCATCTCTGATGGTTAGGGATGAATAATCAAATGCAGTGTTTACATGAATTTTATTTGGGATAACACCACTTATAGCATGCATATAGTCTAGCAGTTCCTTTAAAACCAAGGAAATAAAGTCCGAAAGAAGAAGAAGAAGAATTAATAAGCTTTTTCACCCTCAATGTTTCCAGCAGGATAGTAGCTGCAAATCACATAATACCATCCGTTTGTACACTTTTCTCTAGCGCACCCAACGTTGGTCGTCTTTCTCGCAACAATTTGAGTATAGTGGCCGCAATCGAATCCGCCGCTTTTACATTTACCGGAAGCAGGATCATAGTCAGGCTTCTCTGTAGCCCAAAATCTCACGGAATCCGCGATAGTGGAGTCTTCATAGCCTCCGGCAAGGTTTTCACCGTAGGGTCCCATGGAATGCTCCATCTTACAGTCATTCACCCTTTTCTTGGCATAAACTTGAGCATATTTAGCTAGGGTTTCATTCCAAACCAGTGGAGGAACCCCAACTTGAGCACGAAATTCATTATGAGCTTTCAAGATGTCTTCAGGAGTTTCCTGAGCTCGTGATAAGAGAGAAAGCTTTAAGGTCATGCAGCATATAACAAATAAGAGCTTAATAAACAACACTTGGAACTAGTTTGCAGTACGAGGAAACATAAAAGGTTTTTTGGATGGTTTATATTGATTGATTTTGCTTACTAACCTCCTTTGGGTGTTTGCTTTTGGGTTCTTCTCCCGATTTCGCAGCTTCTGCAGCGTTACCGACGATAGAATGGAGTGAAAGAATTATGAACATTGAGATCAAAACAATGGCCAGATCAATCTTTGTCATTATTGCTTTCTTTTGTATATAGCTATGGACTTACAAGTGAAATGGGATTCATGCTTTGGGTTTGAAATCCTAAATAATTTATAGCGCTTTGGAAGAGACATATGCGGCGAGTCTATGGTCGGGCAGGTGACACCAAAACACAAAGAAATTGAATAAAGTTCAGATATTTCAAAAAAAAAAAATCTGTGGAGGAAGAAACTGTATCACCTTATTTATGGCGAATATTCGGGGAAGACAACGTTGGAAAAGGGATATTGTAGCTTTTTAGCAATCATGGTGAAATATTAGACGTGTTTATTTCTTAAAAAAACTATTATTAGGATTTATGAAACTCAAATTGACAACCGAAAATAGTGTCAATAGAGGATGAATTGACTTTTTGATAATTTTATAGAGTAAGGAGTAAAAAAGATAGAAAATTGGTGCACAACAATTTATAGTAATTCGACATTTTCAATCAAAGTCTACATCCACTATCTAAGCTTCTCACTTAGAATTTTCCAACAAATGTCAAATCACTAATTTGTTCTTTCTTTTTCAGAGACAAAGAGATAATCTTTACAAACTCCCTACCTTTTCAAATGCTTAGCTAGAACAAAAATCCTTTTATAAAATGATAAAAGAAGTAAACAATAAAACCTCTCAAATGTAGGTGTTTACAAAATTAAAAATCACAAGAACAAAAATATTTACAAAATAAAGTAAAATTGAAATAAAAAGCTCTTCTCTTGTGTTTGATTTCTTGAATAGGTGTTCTAACCCTTGTTCAAGTGTCTTGAACTTGTATTTATATGTTGGAATGTGTTTGTGGTCGTTTCTAGCCGTTGGAGATGATTTCTAGCTGTTTGTGATGTTTTCTCTGCAAATTAAAGCTGCCCAGTACAAGGAGTATCGGTACTTTCTTTATTATTTTTAAATAAAACTAGTTGTTATTAGCCGTTGGGCCTGACAGTATCGATACTGTGACCATGGTATCGATACTATAATGTAAAGTAGTATCAGTGTCCCTTTGAGTATTGGCACCTATTTTGCATTCTGGAATTTGAGCAAGATTGTAGTATCGATACTACCTATAGAGTATCGATACTTCTCTTACCTAGAGTATCGATACTTCTCTTACCTAGAGCATCGGTACCACATGAATTGTATCAATACTATTCATATAATATCGATACTATAAGAATAGTATCGGTACTTTGTATGTTAAAAACTTATTTTTGCTCAAATTCTAGTTTATTTGACTTTGAATTATTTTTGAAAACTTTGAACAAATTTAATTAAATGCAAAAACATTTTGTCTTAATTTATTATATCAAAATATTATAAAACATGGTTCAACAACGATCCAAGGAGGGATGACGATAGGGTCTTGTTCGATTGTATGGTGCTGTGATTATCGTATCGTTGGTATTATACAATGAGCGGAAGTCATAGTGTAGTAAGAAAAGAGAAAACTCCGAACAGACACAAGGAGGAAATGGCTCGTGATTGTGTAGGCAAACAAACGAAGGATAGGTGGAGAGCGCTCACAAAAGAAAGGTGGAAGAAAAATGTGTTGAGGGGGTAATAGATTCAAACCAAGCTACCGCTGTTAAAGACTAGAGCGGTAGGATGGTGTTCTCGACCTTACAAAATTGGGGAGGTAGCACCGGAGACGTAGGAGGAAGGATCGGTTGAACCTGATATATCAGGTCGAAATCGGGAGATACAACAATTTATTTTGTTATGTTGTCATCTCTAATATATTCCAATATTTACTTATCAATAAGATAACAACACATATCGCAATCAAACATTTAACTTACTAAAAAAATGACATGTGGATATATCATGTCAACTATTGTTAATGATTTTTTGTGACTAAAATGAAATTTTTATTACTTCAATAATAGTTTTTGGTGACTAAAATGAAAACATTCTAAAAGTTTAGTGACCAAAATAATAATTTTCTCTACTCTAATGAAAGTTATTCGAGAAAGCAAGTGAAAACGACCTAAAAGTTGAGTGACCATTAGTGTAGTTTATCCTACCATTTATCATTGGCACAGCCTGCTTATCAAAAGACCAACCTGAGACTAATCGGTCCGAGCGAATAACTTGACCCTGAACAGACTGAACAGAAGCACAAATACTTGAGGTATGAAAATTGAACTGACTAAACTTCGAAGTTAGCCATTTTTATGGTACATAACCTCATATGTCATCATCCCTGTCCCAGTTCATATCTCATCGATTTGATGAAAAACAATCAAAACAATATTTGCTTCTGGGAGGACCTAAAACTTTTCTTTTGACAAACAAGTACAATCCAACCTTGACTTATAGCTTAAATGCTATAGTGCAGCAATGACTGAAATCGAACTTAGCCTGAGATTGGGTGCTCATTGAATAACAGCTTAATCTCGTAATAGTCGAATGTCTGACTGAAAGCTTCAAATTCAAAAGCGCATATACAGACATGCCTTCCAAGAAGAAAAAGAAGCATCGCGATGGAATTCTATCGAGTAGGTTATCAATGAATAAATGTCAGAATGCAGTCGGAGTTGGACTCGAACATAAATCGTATTTTCTCATAACCTCGATACTTTGTGCTATTGTTGAACCTGCGGTCCCAACAAAACCAAATGAAGCACAACTGCAAACTGTTTCTTCTATGTACAGGAGTACATCAGGTAATACGTCAGGAGAGCAATGCTTCACCTTAGCCACTGCATCCAAACTGCCAGGAACAGATTCAAATCTAAGACCACGTCCAGCTAGTGCTAGTTTCTTTGCCGTATTCATCACCAAGAGATCTTCTTGTAGAAAATATAGCTTAAAGTTCGCTGAATCCCTAGCCAAATCACCCAAGTAATTCCCAGTCTAATTACCTCGAGGGAAATCGGTCATCAGAAAAATACGCACTGGTCGAGAACCCAACTGCCTTAACGAATCTAATTTTTTTCTCAAACCTAGAAAAGTAGCTTTCCAGTGGTTCTTGAATTGTCCGTCGAGCAGCCTAAGCTGTGCACAGAGAAAAGGAGCCTTTATCGTCTCAGCAGCAAACTGCTTTCCCGAGTTTATAATTTCAGGGACAAATGGAAGGAACTCAATCTTGTTGATTAAAGATCCGATCCTCGGATCTCCTGGTGCCTTTTGGATATCAATATAGAGCTCAGAACCTTTATATGGGGAAGTAAAAAGGCTTCCAAATGCAAGCACAGTGGCTGATTCAGCTTCACTTCCAGGTCCAAGAGCCTTATATACATCTCTACGTCTTTTAACATAGGAATTTTTCTTCTTCTTCTTGAGTTGTTCATCAGGTTGGAATGGATCTAACGTCCCATCTGCTCCATATTGGTACGTCCAAACTGTTGATCTACAATCTTCATCGACGGCAAATAAACATCGATCAATATTAACATCAATCCCAGATAGCAGAGAGCCACATTGTTTTAAGCTATCAACCAGAGATGGTGGTGCATTCGATTCATTGGAGCAAACCAAATCAATGTTCAAACCACACCACAATGACACGAAAACCCTGAAATCTACGGAACGAGTGAAGATGACAGTAATGAAGAAACATCAATGATATCAGCCATGGAAACATACCTGCAACAAGAGGTAAGCATTAGCTAAAAACTACGTGGAGTTAAAGCAATGTTTAATTCACCTAGGGATTGAAATTTCATACAATTCATCAGCAGTAAATTTGCAACAACAAAAAAACTAAAACTTGTTTTCTTGTAATAAGCTGAAATAATCTAGTGACTTAAAATGTTCATCATTCATTAGAAATAAGTAAAAAAATCACAGCCCCGTATTCTGAATTTTACAAATTTAACCACATTTTGCCACAATAAAGCCAATAAAAGAAAATTAATCTTAAAAAAATAATATCACATATTTCAAACATAAAAAGGATCTAAAATTTACTAGAGAAATTAAGTGAAATGGAAATATAAATAAAGAAAATGGGGAATACCCGGTTACCTCCTACTTCTAAGAAGCTCAACGGTATGATCCCAAACGGAAACCCGGATCTTTTTAGGGCTCTGAACCCTAAACAGGGCAGCTACCAAGAGCTACGGCATGGTGATCGAGTATCGGAGGGACGATTAAGGTGCGGTTCAAAATAGACGCCATTAGAATCGCATTTTTGAACTCAGAAAGCTGGTTGCTAAACCCACTATCAGGGGCATACCACAAGAACTTCTCCCTTTGAAATCGAGTTTCGCAATGTGGGTAGTTTTGGGATAGGGCTATATTTGGGGTTTTCGAAGAGGTCGAGAAGAACGAGTAATTGGGGAAGGGAGTGTGAGCGAGGAAGAAGAACAACAAGAGGAGAGAAATTAGAAAGATTGAAAGGAAAAATAAGGGAGTTTTGCGCTTTTTTTTGTTCCATTGTTTGGGATTGGCGATCGCTCTATTGAGGTTGAAGAACATGATTTTTTTCCGGTAATTTTTTGGCGGTGGCCGATGAAGTTTTGTGTTGTCGATTTGATTGTGTGTGTGTGCCGGAAACCGTCGGGAATTGCTTGTTGGGCTTCTATGGGCCTTTTACGGCTGCTTAAAAGTTAGGGTAATCTACATGTTCAGTACATCAACTATAACTCTTACTCTATTTTTATCGTCAAATTATTTTTTTATCAAAATGATACCTAATGTTATGTTATACTTTTATTTTGGTCAAACACCGTTAAAAAATTAACAGAATTATTGACGTGATATTTTTATTTTTCAATGATGACGCGATATTACCTTATGATAACATGTCAACATCATCGTTAATTTTTTAATGACAGAGGAACAAAAATGAAATCAAAACTAAATGTTATGTATGTTTTTAAAAGAAAAAAAATATTTGGGTGATGAAAACGAAATAAAAGTGATAACTGGAATAGTAAGTGATAACTGGAATACTAAGTTTACCCTAAAAGTTAAATTCCTATGTATACTAAAAATATTAGAGTAAAATATGAAAATAGTCCCCAAATATAGACTATGAAAACGTATAAAATGGTCATATAACAAATTTGTATTTTCT